GCATAAGCTTTCGTGGACTGCAGCCCACTTCTTTGGGCATCCAAAGAAGTGGGCTGCAGTCCACGAAAGCTTATGCTCTAATAAATTTGTTAGTCTCTACGGTGCCACAAGTACTCCTGTTTTTTTAAAACATCTAGGACAGTGGCATTTGACAGGTTACAAAGTAGCAGCCGTGTTAGTCTGTATCCGCAAAAAGAACAGGAGTACTTGTGGCACCTTAGAGACTAACACATTTATTTCAGAAGCTTATGCTTAAACAGTTAAACACTGGAATAAATTGCCTAGGGAGGTTGTGGAATCTCCATCTCTGGAGATATTTAAGAGTAGGTTAGATAAATGTCTATCAGGGATGGTCTAGACAGTATTTGGTCCTGCCATGCGGGCAGGGGACTGGACTCGATGACCTCTTGAGGTCCCTTCCAGTCCTTGAATCTATGAATCTATGAATCTATGAAAATTTGTTAGTGGCATTTGAGTGTATCATGGGCTGCTGCAATCTCGCAACACTACTGGAAAACAATCTAAGCAAATTATTCCAAGAGCAGTATTTCTGGAATCTCAACCCCTCGGTGCAGGTGAAATGGAACTAAGTCCTGTGATGGTGACTACATGTAGATGGCATAGAGAGACAGATGGTAATACTAAAGTGATAGGGGACAGAAGCTAATGGCTTCTGTTCTCAAGGGAGAGAACATACTTCCAATATTAAAGACACAATTACAAATTAGCCAAATGCAAGGAAAAGATAGGAAGATATGAAGACTAGTAAGAAGCCAACATGGCTCCATCAGCTCTTAAATGAGCTGAAAATCAGAAAGAAACCCTACAAAAAGTGGAAACATGGACAAATTGCTAAGAAGAAGCACAAAAGAATAGCACAAGCATGTAGGGAAAAGATCAGAAATGCTAAGGCACAAAATGAGTTACACCTACCAAGGGATATAAAAGGCAATAAGGAGAGGTTCTACAAGTACCTTCTTGATGAAAAATACCTTCAGCCTTCTTGATGAAATGTTTAATGCCTACTTTGCTTCAGTCTTCACTAAAAAGGTAAATTGTGACCAGATGCTTAACATAATCAATATTCAGAACAAGGGTGAAGGAACGCAAGCCAAAATAGGGAAAGAACAGGTTAAAGAATATTTAGATAAGTTCGATGTACTCAAGTTGGCAGGGCCTGATGAAATTCAAGAACTAGCTGAAGAAATCTTGGAACCATTAGCAATTATCTTTGAGAAATCATGGAGGATGATGAGGTCCCAGAGGACTGGAGAAGGGTAAACATAGTACCTACCTGTAAAAAGGGATACAAAGAGGAACTGGGCAATTATAGGCCAGTCAACCTAATTTCAATACCTGGAAAGATACTGGAAGAAATTATTATTCTCTATGTACTTATAAGTAGATTGTTTAATAGAGTTATAAGTAATAGCCAAAATGGATTTGTCAAGAACAAATCATGCCTAACCAACCTAGTTTCCTTCTTTGACAGAGTTACTGCCCTAGTGGATGAGGGGAAAGCTGGAGATGTGATACATCTTGATTTTAGTACAGCTTTTCACACAACTCCACATGCTATTCTCATAAGCAAACTAGGGAAATGTGATCTAGATGAAACTAGTATCACTTGGGTGCAAAACCGACTGAAAGATGATTACTCAAAGAATAGTTATCAATGGTTTGCTATCAAACTGGGAGGGATTTATCTCATGAGGTCACTCAAGGCCAGGGTCCTGTCCTGGGTCCTGTACTATTCAATATTTTCATTAATAACTTGAATAATGGAGTGGAGAGTATGCTTATAAAATTTATGTATGACTTCAAATTGGGAGGAGTTATTAGCACTTTGGAGGACAGGATTAGAATTCAAAACAACATTGACAAGTTGAGAGAATTGGTCTGAAATCAACAAGATGAAATTCAATAAAGACTGTTGCAAAGAACTACACTTAGGATGGAAAAAATCAGATAAACAACTACAATAGGTGACTAGGTAGTACTGCTGAAAATGATCCAGGGGTTACAGTGGATTACAAATTAATGTAATGCAGTTGTGAAAAAGTTTAATATCATTCTGAGGTGTATTAACAAACGTGTCATACGTAAGACAAGGGTGGTAATTATCCCGCTGTACTCTGCATTGGTGAGGCCTCAGCTGGAGTACTGTGTCTGGGCACTACACTGTAAGATGGATGTGGATAAACTGGAGAGATTCCAGAGGAGAGCAAGAAATATGATATGAGGTTTAGAAAATTTGATCTCTGAGGAAAGGGTAAAAAAACTGGACCCGTTTAGTCTTGTATGCTAGGTTCTTTTGCGCAATAGAAACATATGGAAGTCCATGTAGTACTAATGCGTGTTGAAAATACTGTCTGTATGTTTTTCCTCATAGTTCTAGAGACCCTGTGAGTCATCACTGCCTGGAGGAATGAGCACAAGACTGGGAGCTGAGAAGTCCTAGATCCATCACATCACATCTCTGCTTCACTTTCCCCATTGGTAGAATGAGCGATACGAATGATTAAGTGACAGGGCTGTTGTGAAGGTGAGTTAGTTAATGTTTGAACATTCCTTTGAACATGCAAAGTGCTACGTATATGCAAGTATTATTATTATTGGGTGAAATGTTCTAGTAATACCATCAAAATACCTCGTGCTTGGGTTAATCTGTCTTTGTTGACAGGATGCCATTTGCTTTGCAATGCATGACATTTAGGAGAGGAAATATATTGATTTGGATATTTCATATATATGATCTATATATTCCTAGGTAAAAACGATGTTAAGACAAAGTTAAGGTTGAGAGTATATACTAGTAATTTAGGGCAAATTGTCTCCCAGGGGTGTTTGGACTCTCCAAAATTCAAGTGTGTTTAGGTAACCCTGAGAACAGTCACATTGTTACCCCCATCTTCCAGTGAAAGGGAGAGTTGCTTGTGTTTCACTGGGTGTCAGCTCCCTAACATCACCAGGCTGTCAGGCATCCAAACACTTGCCTCTGGGCTATTCCAGCCCTAATGTTCCCTTGCAGGTTAGCAATAGGCTTTGAGCCCCTTTTTAGCATTCCCCTGCAGTGTTCAGCCCCTTATCCACTGAACAGTCACAAAAATACCAGGTCTGCTGTCCCCAAAGGAATGGCATACACACCAGCTTGTATGATTCAACACAGGATCAGCACCCTACCTTAATATCACAACCCTGAGATATATTTATAGTGAAAACAATGGTAAGTGTATTATCAAAATACAAAATTCAAAAGCCAGGGAGTAAGGATAAAGGAAACAAGAGGGTTACATATAAATAGGGCGACCATATTTCCCTATGCTGAATATGGGACATCTGGTAAAATTACTCGTATTCAAGCAAGTTCAACGGCAATCAATCAGAACTATTCAGTACAAATGTTCAAATTAACATCAAATTGATTGAGCCCCTGTTAAAAAAGAAATATTATGTAGTTAGATTATTTTTATTTACCTTATCTTTAAGGCTTTAGGGTTCACATGGGGAGGGGTGACACACACACCCCTACTCCCCCACACACGGGGAGAGTTGACACACACACGCATTCCTGTACACTTCTCTCACACCGGGGGGGGGGGGGGTTGGGGTTGGTTACTGACTGACCCAAACCTCTCTGCCCAGCGCTCTCCGCCCTCCATGCCTGACTGGGCCCCTGAGACGGACCTGCCTCTCCTGCTACCTGGTGCTGCAGCTTCTCAAGGCAATACATGGGGGGACACGCAGGGTCACATGCCCTCCCCCCAGATTTCTGCCATGGTTCACACCACACTGTGGCAAGGAGCAGTCTTTTGGCACTGTGCGGGAGGGAAGGGATGGGGGCTGCTTCCAGCCACAGAGCAGGATGGCAGGGGAAGGGATGATCTGCCCTTGTCTTTGCAGAGCTCCCCTTTCCATGTGGCTGGAAGCAGCTTGCCCCTTCCTGCCCGCCCAGTCTCAAAAGGCAGCTAACACCTCCAGACTGCTGATGGCCACTGACATAACCCAGGCACCTCCGGGCCCCCAGTGCAGGGAGAAGGGGTTAAGCCCTAACCTGACTGCGGGGGCTTCAGCGAACCGGCCAGAGAGATGGTTCAGCAGGGGAGGGTGAGCCACCCCGCACTCCTTGGGGGCAGGACCCAGGAAGGAGGAGGGAGGGTGAAGAGGGTGCTAAGCCCCTGCCCTGGGGGCTGCAGTGGAGTCTGCAGGTTCAAGGCATGAACAGGCTGGAAATCATTCTCCCCCCACACACCACTCCAGAGCTTAACTGAGGGGCAGAGAAGCTTCCCCATGCCAGCGCTGTCCAGGGCTTTGGCACATGCAGGACTCGGCTCCTCCTGGCCAGCGCCCTGGGTCGGAGGGTCTTGGGCTTTCCCAGGGTGCCGGCCCAGAGGCAGTGGGGGAAGGAAAGAGCCTGCCGCCCAGGCTATTGGTGAGCTGAACGCTCTGACCAAGGCTGTTTCTTCTCACAGCGCTGGGAGTGGGACGCGTCCTGCCGGGGCGGATATGAAGGAGCACCGGGGTTGGTGAGGGTGAAGAGGCAAAGCAGGGAGAGGACAGCAAGAAGGGGAGCACATAAAGGGCTAATGGGTGGGCAGCAGAAGCAAAACATAACTGGCCGCTGCCTGGGGCCTGCCCACACTCACCAGCCACCACAACTCGCAGCGCACAGTTAGCACCGGCCAGAAATAGGACGGTGGGTGGGGCCCTGCTGGCTGAGAGCTGGCATGCAGCAGGGGCTGTGGTGATGGACTAGCAGGGAGAGTGGCTGGCCCTGCATGCTGCATCTTCGCCCCCCACCAGCCTTGCACACCCACCCCCATTGTCAGCCACCGGACCCCCCCACACACACTCACTCATGCTGTGCATGCACCTGATGCGCAGTGAT